TTATCCGTATCTTTCATTTGTTGTTGTTGTTGTTGTTCTATATTAGCAATAGTGATACGACGATTTTTAAGTCGATGCATTGTGCGTTGATGTCTTGAACTTCGCCTTCCGATACTCCCTCCACCTGATGAATCGTCCGAGGTATTCATCATACTCAATAAAGCTGACGTATTCTGCTGATAGAGACGTCCACCACTACCCCCCGTAATCGGATATGTTGGATTCAGCATCATCGAGGAATGCGATCCGGGTGATTCGGATTCTGAAACGATAGCCAGTAGCAACAACACACACACACTTATGTGAACAACATTCGTTTTGTGAGAAGAATACATTCGAACTTCGAACTGAAATGAAATGAAGAAGCAATGTTATGTGGTTGGTGGTCAGTGAACAGAAAAACACACAAGCATGATATGATCACAGCAAACTGTCTTGTTAATATTCAATACAATATTTTGGTTTGTTATTATTTGAGGATAACTTAACGTTATTTCATTGGTTGCGGTGAATTTTTGCAAACAGTCTATTTCAATTACTGAGGATATACATTAAGCTAGCAATAACCTGATCTAGAGCCTTCTCTTTCGGACTTAGAAAAAATTTCGCTCATTTCGAACGAAGCAGACAACAGTGCCGCTAATTAATTGTAAGCTAATATAATTCTTCAAGACATCACTAATCATCAATACTTCTTCGAAAACTGATAATACTTAAAACTGTTCCGCATAGATCCATATATATTGCTTCTGAATTTGAAAAGATTTTCGTTCTGAAGAACACAAATTTGTTAATGAAGCTTTAGCTGCTCGGCACAAAAACATTCGACTCAAATAAGGATGATTAGGCGAAACCATACAAAGCGATTCGGCAAGCAAATAATTAGGCGGAAGGCCATTGCACATTGAACACATAGAGAATATATTATGTATGTTGGCGCATTTCACTGAGTTTTGCGAGGAGAACTACTCAAACGCACAACATTCCACAAGATTAGATAAATGCCTGGAGCAGATATGGAACATGATCGATATCCTACGAAGTTTTCTCCCACTGAATTTTTGCAAGCCATATTAATCTTATCCCTCAAAGAGTGCAATTTCTCTCAGAGAAACATCCATGCATTCAGTCAGATGATGAGATGGATGGACACTTTCAATGCAATAATCCCAATTGCTGCTTCGATTCAAACATTCCCATTTCAGAATCAGAATAACGATCGTTCATTTCAATCCCAATCTGATTATCTCTTCATTGAATAATCATTCAAAAAAAANNNNGCTGGCCAATGTGAAGAAAATTGCAGTTTCGACAAACTCAAATAAAAAATCTGTTACGTAACTTAAAACTATCATCATCATCATCATGACCGTAACGATACCACTACAAAAAGTCAATACAAGCAGCATTCAGTCGATTTCTCAAATCAAACGAAAAATTTTTGGCTTACAGTTTTCATTCAAACTAAATCACACTAAAAGCAATAAGAAAACCACAGATAAATGCAATGCATTGCAAAATGCTCGTTTTGTTATCATATAAATTGAAATTTTTCGATAAAATGTTATATTACCAATTCATCAGTTCAAATCATTATCATAACTACATTCCAACTCTGATCTATTTTAGTTCACTCACATGAAACAAATTTGTTATATTCACGTCAAATTCAATACTATTAAAATAACTGTTACTATTATCATTATCACTCATCAGCTTCAACGCCATTAATAATATAACAGTGATCATCGCAGCTATCATTAAGCCAACTAAGGCTCAATTATCAATTTCGCGCTTCTTCGATCAGAATAAAAACGACTGTCTTCTGATCAATAATGACTTAACACACCGGATAATCCTGAGATGCTGCCTCAGGGCTCAATTTCTNCTCTGAATATGATTAATGAATCGAACACTAGTTCCAGAGTGCTTTTCTTTAAATCGAATCCATCAAAGACACTTACGTCGTCTTTGAATAGAATTGGCAGCCGCATAATGTGCACTCGAGAATTGCATATTACTCGCTGAACGTCGTGCGGTTATGCTTGGAGGGGTCCATATGGTTCGGGGCTGCAATCATTTTACATCAATACGCCTCATTTATATTAATGCCAATAACCAAAAACATCCCAATCATCACATCATTACCGTTTTTTTCTTTAAAAAGCTGTCACTCTCTTAAAATATATCAACTACCCTACCGGTTTCTTTAAAAAAAAAACCGGGTTCAACGTGAAATCTGTAGGAGATCTATCTTGATGATGCAGAAGAAGCAATTGAGAAATCGCATCGCTGCATTTCTGTGCGCAATGCGCAATATCCTACCTCAGGTGTCGATGCAGCCACTGGGCTGTTCAAAATGTAACGTTTCGAGAGACTGTTTCGTTCCGCAGATGTTCTAGTAAACGATTCAGTTGTAGTAGCAGCCCCTTTGTCATCTGATTGTCGATTGAATAGATTGCTAGATTGATTGTTGTTCGTTGACTGCTGTTGCTGTTGTTGTTTCATTAAGATTGCCATCATTTCGGCATTAGTATGATTACTCACTTGTGGTGGTGGAGGAATTGTCGATAGTGGAATGCCTTCTCTCATGGATCCGGACGAAATCTGCTGTGGAGGCGATACCATCATCGGATTTTGATATTGTGAATACTGTTGATGGGACGGCTGCGACTGAGACGACGCATGGGGACGAGGTAACGTCTGACTGAACGCGGTAGTCGATGGCACTGAACTGCTGCTTACCACAGGCGATGCTCCTGCTGAAACTTATTTTTTATACGAACACTGAATAATAATCACCTTTTATGAACTCATCTAGCTCCTCATTCATTTGCTCATTAATCTACTCACAATCAGTTATTTTCTTATTAATTCACTCCTTCCCACCAACTACTAGGTGTGGCAGAAACTTCTCAGGCAGCTACACTAGCAAACTGATATAATAGAACATTGCTTCTCTATGTAGAGCAGTGGTTCTCACAGAGGGTGAAATTACTCATTTTGGAGGTGTAATGGAGGAGGTTGGAAAGTTTCATTAACTGAGCATGTAAATGCGGTTAGTTGATGGCGACACTCTTCA